TTGTGGCTATTTGTGCCTCATATTCCACAATTATGAGTGTGGCTATTAGTATTAAATTTGCTATGGTTTTTTTTAAACACTATTTTCATTAAGATTAAATGACAATCATACATAGATCGGCGATTATACAAATCCTGGTAAGAAAGTCCGATGAACCAACCATAAGGTCCTCGGAAACAATATCCCATACATGGGAGACAAAGATCAACAAAGAGGAAATACGACCATTAACTTTACTAATCTAAACTAGCTTAAGAAAGAACCAGATCTGGAGAAACCACGAACACATCATTGCAAGTTGACTACCACAGAGCTCATTTGAACGAAGACAAGGCGAGGACTCCAGACTTGGAAGTAACCTCCGGCTTGCGTCTCCTCCTATAGTGAATAGCACATGCAATGTAGAGACCAAAGCTTCAAACACCAGGAGACAAAATATCCACAAAATCAATTTCACGCTATTTGTGGAAAATAGCCGCAAATATTGTTTGTGGCGGCATCGTGGAAGCACATCTACGAATAGCCACATTTTTCTGATAGCTACAAACCATTAGTCAACGAATTTTTCTTGTTGCTATTCATAGCTAACAGTAAAATAGCCACAAAAATCAAGCGATAGCTACAAAAAAAATAGTGGCTATTCTCTATCTTTCTTATAGTTAATATAGATACTAACATAACTATTCTAAGTGGAATAATTGTTTAATTCTCTTTGTTCTTGGATGTGTTTTCTGTATGTTTTTCCATAATGCTAACAATCTCTTTATAGAAAAATAAAGAGAAGCACAAGTTTCGTTTTCAACATAAAATGAAACATCCATGGTGCATTAATGAAGATTTTAATTAGGTTTTTTAGTAATAAAACCACTCAACTAAAGATGAATCGTAAAAAAACCCTCAACTAAAGATTTAATGAAATAAACCCTCAACTTTAGTTTTGTTAATGTTTGTCACCCTCCGTCACGGAATTTTAGACGGAGGGTGACATATGTTAACAAAACTATAGTTGAGGGTTTATTTTACTAAATCTTTAGTTGAGAGTTTTTATTACGATCCATCTGTAGTTGAGGGGTTTTATTACTAAATGTGGTTATATATTTTAAAATCTTTATTATCATTTATCCATTATTTAAGAATCTTAAAATTGATTTATAAACATTGAAAATAATTTATATTTTTATATATTACTTTATCAATTTTATAACAAATTTATAAAGTTTTCTCATTTAATACTTTTTATAAATTATTATTAAAGTTTAATGATGATTTTATAAGATTAAAGATGTGATTATTCGTCATACTACAAAAACATGAAGTAAATAAATAAAACAAGAAAAGCTTATTGATTAATATGGTAGGAGTATAACATACTGGTTCAGAAATTAAAAAGAACAAAAAATAATCCTACATTATTTCTTTTGAAACAGAAAAAAGTACGAATCAAATTGCAATTGTTAAAAGAGGAGAATAAAGTCCTTGCCTTATTTTAAGTAACAATGTTGAATTTCTAAACTAATTAAATATCCTCAACACTACCTACAACTTTATATAACTTAGAAATCTTAAGTATTTGATATTTGACAATATTAATATAAGAAAATTGTATGTGTTTCCTTCTTTATAAAGCTTTATCGCTTTACTTCGTAATAACAAGAAAAATCATGTATTATTCCATCCTAAGAAATAGCAGACAAAAGCTTATAAAATCATCGTTGAACCTTATTAATAGTTTATAAAAATATAAAAATATTTTCTAAGCTTTATAAATAGGTTAAAAATTTGATAAAGTAATATATAAAAAATTATAAATTATTTTCAATGTTTATAAATAAATTGTAAGATTCTTAAATAATAAATAAATGATAACAAAGGTTTTAAAATATTTAATCGTATTTAGTAATAAAACCCTCAACTAAAGATGGATCGTAACAAAAACCCTCAACTAAAGATTTAGTGAAATAAACCCTCAACTTTAGTTCTGTTAACATATGTCACCCTCCGTATAAAATTCCATGACGGAGGGTGACAAACATTAACGGAACTAAAGTTGAGGGTTCTCTTACTAAATCTTTAGTTGAGGGTTTTTTTTACGATCCATCTTTAGTTGAGGAGTTTTATTACTAAAAACCCTTTTAATTATTACCAATTAATATGTGAATTTATTCAACATTTTGACCAAAATCTTAAAAAGAGTGAAATTATTTTTGTTTGACCAATTCAAACAAAAAAATATACTTAAACATTAAATTCTTTTTTTAGATTTTATCAACATAAAAGATCACATATATTTGGTTTATAAGATTAAGTTAATGAACATGAAGTCAAAGTAACAAATCAAAACCCAAATTCAAATATCTAATGTGTATATTTGTTACTTTATACAATTTTTTCAAATCACACACATTAGACCATTAATTCTCATTCAAATAAAATTTTATTTTGACATATGAATACACTATTCATAATGTCCAAAAAGTAGTTCTACAAATTATTTTTAAACTTTTCCTGAAACATCTAGCTCCCAGTACCTGATTCTCCTTAAATCCTTTTGGTTAGAGGGTTCTAAAGGAGCACCTTTGAGGTTATATCTCAGTTCCTATTAGTTCAAAGACTTCAAACACATCAGCATTCCTATTTTGATTGTAAAGGTATGTGAATCCACTTGCTATTATTGACTTCTTTCCCTTCCAATTCGTAATAGTTTATGTAAGTATATCTGCTAATTCTGATGCACACCAGACTGGTTTCCACCCCCCATTGGAACACCCACCATTGACCCGTTCTCGAAGAGATGCATGTCAATAATCACTCACTTCCAAATTTCTCTTCGAGGTGTTAGTCTAGTGCTAACCCTTGTAGACGTTTCTCTAGCCTTGGTTGAACATGGTTGCTCTAGTTAGCTTATGAATGACTAGTTAACCATAAAAGGGTGTCGGAATCACACAATAATATGGACGTATATTACAACAATGATAGCTTTGTAACCAATAAAGGTGCTTTTCACGCATGCTAAACTAACTCCAGACCAAACATAATAATTACAAAACACTTCATATACAACAACATTTAACAAAATATAGTTGCACTCTCTAACCTTAATAGGTGGAGTGGCCTTGCACCTCATTCTTGCATCCCTATTAGTTTGCAGTTTTGACTCATTCTCCTTGGTTTTGGTTGCTACGTTTAGTCTCCGTGTGGCAGTAAGTCACTGACCGTGCCTCTTCTCTTGTAGGCATATTCCTGGAGGGTGAGTTCTGTGCAGTCCCACTCCCTCTATATGTGGGTTCGGTTCAATGGCTGTAGACGGTCATGAGGGGTCGGATCTGAAGATGGTATTCTTCGGTTATGCTTCTCGAACGATGGCATCGTCAAATGGTCACTTTCCCTCGTGCCGTCGGGATGTTTTTATCTGGTGTTTTTGGTAGGTTCGTGCTTCCATTCTTCGAGCCAGTCTGTGTTGGGCCGGGTTTCGGAAGCTGCAGGACCCATAACGTTTACGTTTGAGGGTGCCATCTCTCGGATCGTAGCAATTGTCTCCTCCTCTCTGACCTTTCCAGCTCGCTTGGTCTTTTTTTCGTTTTTGCTGCTTAATTGGTTGCTAGTGTAGCTTTTCCACTTTGGTTTCTTCTCTTTTTTCTTTTGTTTTGTAGTTTATTTTCTACATTCTACTAGTTATCTTTGTAATCGCTATCAAAATTTTCAAATTTGGTATATCATTTAACATTTTACCAAAAAAAAACTCTACAAATAATAAAAGAATTATATTTTATTTATGTTTTATTTTTAATCTTGGTGGGCTTTGGCTTAATATGACGGAGCTCGTGATGTGGTGAAAGGTACACCAGTTTGCTCAGTCTTTTGTATGTCTAAGTATGCAGAGAATGAGTTAATGTAGCTCTAATAATGTTTGTGTTCGGAGTGCAGATGCTTGAATAGTTTGTGGCTGGAGGCTAGTTGACCTAGAGAGATCACTCAACAGATGATTTTGGTTCAATGGGTTGCAGTTGCAGGATAACTGTTTTACTGATGATTATCAGCTAACATGAAACTATAGAGTTGATGAGGCTAACATGCTTTTGAAGATATGCATGCTATGCTCACTATAGGATCCATAAAAGAGGCCTATTATGGATTATGACGAAACAGTATCATAGACATGATGTTTGAAAGCAGGGGTGGACCCACTTAAAGAGCAGTGGGATCGTCTGACACCATAAAAAAATATGATAAAAAATGTTTATATAGGAAAACATTAATGATTTGGTAGCAGAATTGGTTAAATTTTATTGTCTGACCCCACATAACCCGAGTTCGAATGTCGAATGTCGAATGTCAGAGCTGACACCTTAAATTGTTTTTGACATTAGTCAAATTCGTTCATGGGTCCGCCACTTGTTTGAAAGAGCTTGTATCTAGCTATTCCGCAATCGCTAATTCAGATGCAGACCAGACTGGTTTTCACCCAATCGGAACATCCACCATTTGACCCATTCTTGTTGAGATGCAGGTCAGTAATCACCCACTTCCAAATTGCTCTTCGAGGTGTTAGTCTAGTGCTGAACCTTGTCGACGTTTCTCTAGCCTTGGTTGAACTTGGTTGCTCTAGTTAACTTCCTCGGTTGTATGGCCTTCTCCTTCTTGGTGTTAGCTGGCTGTCTTCCTAGCTCATTCCTTAGCAGACATCAGCCAAATGAGCTATAGGTAATTTGTTGCTTCAATTAAACCAAAACTGACCAAAAGATTATTTTGCAACATAGAACAATCTGTTATATGAGCTCATCTTCTATAGCCTGCATGATGTAGCGAGCGTACCAAAATATGCAACCATCAAAGATGAGAGGTTTCGGTTGACAAGTCTAAGCTGCTAAAACCCGAAGAGACAAGAAATAACTTATGAATGACTAGTTAACCATTAAAAGGGTGTTGGAAACACAATAATATGGACAGATACTGGAACAAGGATAGCTTTGTAACCTAGACATGCTAAACTAACTCCAGACCAAACAAAATAATTACAAAACACTGCATATACAACAACATTTAACAAATCTAGTTGCACAATCACACTCTCTAACCTCACTGTTTCAAGCATTTGATACAAGTTTATCACGCTGCAGCAAAGAGGTGGCTAGTAATTCCAGAAAATCTGATCTTTTCGCAACTTTTTCTTGAGATAAACTCCAATTAGCTTTCTATACGTCCAGTTTCTCCGTTGACCAAACTCCAAAACAGCTTCTGAGCTAAGGTGGAAATCTCCTTTCCCCAATACTTCAAAGGCAAGTGGATCAGTTAATACAACAGGAGAATCGTCCAGGTTCATTCGGTTGTACACAAACTCCAAATTCCTCGCTAGCCTTCTATCCATGTATGCATCGACCACACATCCAAAAGTCACAAGATCTGGAACAATGTTCAAACGTCTCATATGCTCAAGAGTGAGATGCAGATCCCAGAAAAGAGCCATCCTAGAAAACGCAAGAGCACGGATGTTAAAAGTGGTAAGGTCGGGAGAGAAACCCGCGCCACGCATTCCAATGAACTCTCTCTGCAAGCTTTTCATCTTAAAGTCAGCTGCATACGACAGTAACACAGAGTTCCATAACATATTCCCCAAGTTCCTTCTACCAAGACCAACGTCTGAACAAAACTCACGTAGGCGATAAAACTTCCTTTGTTTTAAGTATGCTAACAACACAGCTCTTATCTCTTCTTCCTCTATCACAATTCCAGGCTTCTTAAGCCGGCCATAAGCCTGCTCCATCTTCTCTAAACTACCAAAAACGCTATAGTATCTGATAATTGCATTAGCAGTGGCGGAATCTAAGGAGATCTCCTTTGAATCCAATTCATTTATAGCATCCTCCATCAATTCCAACTGACCGTTCTTTCCAAAACAGCAAATAGCAAGTGAGGATACAACAGGAAGCAGCTTAGGATGTCTTGCACTTATGTCCCTGGCGATTTTGGAAACTTCACTAAAACAACTAATCTGCTCATAAGCAGAGATGAGCTTTGAGATGACAACGAGATCAGGGACGAAAGAGCTGTTTAGAATCTCCTCCCAGATGGCACGCGCTCGAGGAACAGAACCGTTTTGAGCAAAGCAGAGCATAAGAGTGGAAAGGGTTCTGTAGTTAGGAAGCAAGTTGTCTGATTTCATTTGGATGAAAACCTGATGAGCTTCATCAGGCAATCTTCTCCGGTTTAGGCTTTCGATGAGTGGAGCATAGTCTACGACTTTGATCTTTGGACTGGAATCTATAGAGAGCTTCGAGTGCTTGATCAACTGCACAAACATAGATACCAAATTCAGAATCAACATAAAAATTTCGCCGGTAATTTCGTGAAAAGGTCGCGCCATTACAAATTGGAGGGAAGTGTTGGTACCTTCCGACCGATTGGCGGAGTAGGCGAATCTGTAGAACAAGATAAGAGCGTGAATCGATGGGTTCTCAAAGAGAGATGAGGAGAATGAATGAGCCCCGTCGTAAGTAGCGACGCCATTGGTATCGTCTCCGATATGAAGATTCAATACATCCGATGACGCAGATAAAGACGCCAACCCAGAGAGAAGGTTTAAATGGTGAAATATTTACTCTTAACACCGTTATTATCTTTCTAATTACATTTAACTTACAGACACTTCAATCCAAAATATCATTTCATTTTGACTAAATATAAGGATTTTTAACATAAAAACCCCTCAACTAAGTTTATTTTGGGTAAAAGCCCCTAAACTAAGTATTTAATGAAAAAAACCTCAAACTAACTTTATTTAGTGAATTAAACCCTCGCCGGTCAAAATTACCAGTACTACCGGTAAATATTTAGTTTAGGGGTTTTATCATTAAACATAAAAATTCAAAAAAAAAAAAAAATCAAATAATAACATTATCTAAAAATTCGTAATTTTAATTTTCAAAACTAGCATTTTAAAAATTTCTGTAAATATATGAATGATTTATTATCCTTATAAAATGGATTTTTAACTCTAAAATACCTTAAATAGGTTTGTTTTGGGTAGAAAACCCCAAACTAACAAGTAAACCCCCATATTAAACATAGTTGAAGGGTTTTTATCATTAAAAATCTATAAAAAAAAATGATAACATTATCTAAAAATTAGTAACTTAAATTTTTAAAATTAGCATTTTGCAAAATTTCTGTAAATATATGAGTTTGATTTGTTTTAACATCAATATTATATATATAGATTAAAATTTTAAAACACCAAAATATAGTAAAAAGCACCTAAACATTTATTATTACATTTTTATTAAATAAGATATAATTTTTATTCTTTTTTCTTGTTTTTTAGATTTTTAAATTTTGATAATTTTTATTATAGGTAAATCATTAGATAATTTTTCTTACATTTTCTTGGTTTTTACATTTTAAATTTATACATATATAATTTTGATTTTAAAAGGATAACAAATCAGACTCATATAGTTACAAATTGTTTTTTAAAATGCTAGTTTTTAAAATTAAAATTACAAATTTTTAGATAATGTTATTATATTTTGAATTTTATTGATTTTATGTTTAATGATAAAACCCCTAAACTGAAGATTTACCGGTAGTACTGGTAATTATGACCGGCGAGGGTTTTATTCACTAAATAAAGTTATTTTGGGAGTTTTTTCATTAAATACTTAGTTTAGGAGTTTTTACCCAAAACAAACTTAGTTAAGGGATTTTTATGTTAAAAATCCTAAATATAACTAACATTTTAACCTAAAACAACAATCAAATTTCCTTGGCGGATTAATAACGAAGGCTGGAAAGGATGTTACTTGAAATTCTAAAGAATGTCAGTGGTTTAAAATGTAATTTTTTGTGTTGCTGAAGGAAAGATTATAGTTATTGGTGAGTTTGTGTCATTGATCATTAAGTTGGTGTTTGAAGCTTCGATTTGTTGTATTTGGAAGGAGAGAAATGCCAGGATTCATGCTCCGTTGAATAGTGTATCCTCAGCAAAGACGGCACAAGCAGTGATTTATGAGATAAAACAGACAGTGCAAGCTCTCTTGGATCCTTTATCCAGAGCTCATAACTCGAAGAGGACTGATATCACTTTGTTAGGAACTTGGATGAAGAGGTTTTAGGATGTTGCAGGGTCATGGATCGAAGGAAGTTTTGTGAAGTTTGGTTTATGTAAAGGTAGAGGTAGGTTGGAGTAAGTTCTTCTTTTTCTCGGTTGTGGGCTCTAAATAAAGTTAATCCTCTATAATTTCATTAAATTCTCAATAAAATCGTATTAAATTAAAAAAAAAATTATAGTTATTGGATGGTATCTTCGATGGTTATCAAAAATAGCGAAAAAGATTCTAATAAATTTCCATGTAGATGAATAATCATAAAAGAAGAAGTCATGCAAAAACTTTTTGAAATTAGATAACTGGTTATCACTAATAGCTGATATTACATTACCGCCTTAGAAAAATACTGTTTAAGGATAGCCTTCTCCAAAATCGACTTTGTAGGTAAATAGAGAAGTCAGCTTGAGAGATTTTGTGTCAGAGAATTGTCGGTATATATTTTGTTAAAGAAAAATCAAGAAACTAACCTTTTGAAATTGAAATATATGGATTTAGAGTTGTGTGTGTGACTATTAGAGCTTGGCCGTGGTTAGATGGAGCAAATCAGAAGAGTAAGGCAGGGAACTAGTGATGCTTGTGTAACTAACAGAGCTTGGCTGTGTGACTATCGGTGTTTTGCCATGGCAAGATGGAGTAAATCAGTCGATGTTATGGCTGTGTTGTCCACTTTATAGTGAAAGACGACGAGTTATGGTGAAACGCGGCGATTCAGTTTAACTTGAAACTAAATCCAAATTATTTCAAATATATTTTAGACCTATGTAGTCTAAATCAAAATTATAAGAAATGTAATAAATATAGTGAAAAATCAGAAAAATCCAGAAATCACTATTTTTGAACCAGAAAAGTTGCAGGCTGCGTAAGATGAAGATTATAGTGACATTACCATTCTGCCATCTTTTACAAAAGAAAATGAAAAATAAACTAAAAGAGATAGCATACAGTCAGGCTTTAGTTTTTTGAAATTGTAAAGAGTCACTTACCACCTAAACTAACACATATTGTTAACTTGATTAACAAAAAATTTAGCAGAATATCTAATCAATCATTCAAAAAAATATTTTTTCTTTGAAACATAAACATGATTCGTTGAAAAAATGGATAATCCGTCGATAGTCTGGATTATAATGGTAATAGCCCGAAAATAAGTCTCTATATTTGTAAAGTGAATACATATGAACCGGATAATACAATATGAAACCGAGTTAAGTTATTATAATAAAGTGAGACAAAATAAATTTGTGAATTTTAACCAAAATTTATAAAGTTAATTCAACTAAACCTTTGATAGCTAGCCGGAAATATTTTTTTGGTTAGTTGGGATTTGAATTCAGATACTTATAAATAAAACCGCTATTTTAAAGTATTCCAAATACACAATAAATGAAGATAGAAATGAAGATATGATGTTTTAGAAAGACTTCATAAAAGCCATAGTAAATAAAGATCGTGCTTCATAAACTGGAAAAAAATCAACCAAAATGCAATTATCAGCTCAAACTTGGATCATCATGCAACTTCCATTCATCTTCTCTGCACAACCACAATCATTTATTAGTCTTTTGGGCTAGCTTGTTCAAGAGAAACAGAGTCAGTGGATGTTTGATCTGGCTCCTTTTAACAAAAAAAAATATGGCTAATGAGAGATATAAATCCATTAGCATTCTTGCAATAAAAACAACATAGCTTGTAGTACTTCAAAGACTAAGCATACCAAAATAGGAAGATTCAAGTGTGAATGTGTCCAACTAACTGTTACAAGCATAATGAATGAAAAACATAACATACTGATATCTTTATAAGGTTCGAAACTGACACCATATTTTTGCATTACAATCCAAGTTTGACCTCTAAAAATCAGAAAATAAGAGAGTTCTCATTTTATACCTGATAATAAACAAATGCAGACACTTGCTGATAATAAATCATCAAAGCTCTAACACAATATCAAAACCAACAAAACTAGTCTAGATTTTGAAGAAGAATAAAATGGACTAACGGTTAAGTTATATGATTGGGAAAAATGTACTATAGGAATGCCTGATAAATGTAAACAATATGCCTCTAAATATCATGATCCGAAAAGAAGAAGCAAGACCCATCAAAACACGTCTTTTATTATTTTATTTTGAAAGTTGAGATTTGTAATGAGTTCTCAGATCCTTATCATACAGTTGGGGTGGGAGAAGAGAAGAGAGAGTTGGATCCAAGAGAGCGCCACCACCCCAAACAGTGTTTCACGGACAAATTAGTAGCAAAGGAAAGATTTTAACCTCTACTTGACCTGAGTTCTAAAGGCAATTAATGACATGATAATAAAGATAGATTTGAATCAAAAGAAGTACAATTATCTGAACCGATCAAAATATTTACAAAAGGAAAAAATAGGAAGAAAAAAAGAGAGCGAAAGTTAGAAAGAGAGAGATAAAGAGATAGAAAGAGTAGACATGCATGTCATTAATACGTGCAGAACTAGACATAGGGTTAGTTTCGGAATATTGAACTTTCAACAGTAGCGTATCCATTTGCCTAATATATTTTGTTTTATGGTTATCTAGAGCAATCACTTTAAATTATATTTCATTATTTCTTCCAATCTATGTTATTTCTAATTATTCATGATCTTCCTAGATATTTATGAAAAACTAGTAAATGATATTATTGCACAATTCTAGTGAAGTTTAAATCTATTTAGAAAGAGATGCACTGAACAAAATAGAAAAAAAAATTATAGCCCACAAAAGAAAAGTGGTCTTATGCTAGGCACAGCAATAACATTAGAATAAACTTCATTTTATTTATGATCAAATAAATATTTGCTAGAAAATCATTTAGAAAAATATGTACCAAATGCTAATGCTAATGACATTTACTCAATGCTCTCATATGAAAATTTTTGTAAAGCAATTGCATTTATTATTTATAAAATTAAGAAATATATAATTAATTTATTTTATTTAACAATATCATAAATTAAGTTCATATCCAAAAATAAAATTTTTATTTTAAAAATATATTTACTATTAAAGTGTTTTCTACTTTAAAAATAATATTTCACATTTAAAACATAATTTAATTTATATAACGAAATTAGATTTTAAATATGAATACTTATTTTTTTGACTAAAAGTGTTTTAATTTTAAAATTTATTTAAAATATAAATTTTTGGATATAAACATATTTTTGATATTTAAATAAAATAAGTTAATTATATATATTTCGTAACTTTATAAATTACAAGATGCTAGAAATATATTCAGTTAATATATATATATATATATTATAATAATTTTAAATAGCATGCTCCTACTGCTCTACCAATCGTGTTATTAAATAGTGTAATAAAAGCATATAACTTATGCAGCATACAATTTCTATAGCATACTACTATTGTTTTATCATAAGCTCTGACAATCAAAGTTTCTATCTATTTAATGAATTTAATCTAACATTGTTGGTAAAACAGTTGTCGTGTCTAATGAAATTCTCAGTACTCTTTTCTTCCAAGAGTTTTGTGTGGTAAGTGGTACAGACCTAATTTGCCTTTACGATCAGCTGCTATCAATAATCTTTCTTATGTGTGGACGAGTTTACGCGTCAATAGACCATTATTGGCTCTATGGGTTAGACAAAAACTGCATTCTAATTTTGAAATTAAAGTTGGGAAACCCCATGGATTCCAACGATTCCTGCAAGGCATATCAACCCAATGTTCTGGTAGTTCTTCGAAGGATGGCAATAAGTGACTTTATTCATGTTGAGACCAAAAATTGGAATGTGAAAATATTGGAAATTCTAGTTATACCAGAAGATATAACCATTTATTCGAAGTTTGGCTGTAAGTCACCCACTTAAGGTGATAACTTTTGTTGGAGTTATATAANGTGGTAAGTGAGCATAACATCACTAAGTTTCAAGTCTTTTCATGGAAAATTAGTGCTCCTCAAAAGATATGTTATCTCATATGGCAGATCATAACATGATACATAGTGATGACAGAGAAGTTGTCATGTCTTCATATGTAATGTGATAATCATTGTCCTCTATGTGGATATATAAATGAATCTATAAATCATGCGATTTTGAATGTACATCTTCTTTACAAACTTGGAAATTATCATTTAATCCTTCATAGCCATCAAATATTTTGATTTCATTGTTTATACCAACTTGAATTATGGTAGAAATTGATATTGAAGTTCTGGAGTTAGATATAGATTTCTTATCCTTGGATAATTGGTATCTGGAAAACTCGAAACGACAAACTAATAGGAGTCACAAGAGATCCTCTAGAGATAGTAAGGCACATGGAATGTGCATATCGAGCATGTGTTTGAAACAAATGAAAAAAAACATAGCGTAGGTGTAAGAACTACATCATCCCATGAAAGCTCAATTCATATGATTGGGAATATTTGGTTGGTGGATGGTTCATGGACTCTTGAATCACAGTTTAGTAGATGTGGATGAGTTTGCAAAGATTCTTTAAGACAAAACAAACTTTTCGGAATAAGAAATCAAAGGAGGCACTTGCATTTCTACATACGAAGCTGAAAATACTTTATTGGGATATGGAAAGTATGTTACAATGCTCAACATGTTAACATTTTGGAACGAATGCACTAATTTGATTTCATGAGAAAATAACATGGTCAATTAGCTATTCTAAAAAAAATATGTCAAGCTTGTCATATTCTTTACCATCATATAGCACAAAACAAACTGCAGATTCATTAGCTAAGAATATACGTACTTTTCATATATATATTTTCTTTTCATTAATTGTTCTATTATAGTCCAGTTTTCATGACCACATCTTGTTTATGTAGTAGTATCTCTTATGATTAGTTACCGTATCTAGGGTTTTGTTCAATTTTAGGTCTTTTCGTTATGGGTTTGTTCAGCTTTAGGTCTTTCTATCATGGGTTTATTTGAAACATTATAACGATTATATCTTTTATATAAGAGAAATTTTTTATTATTTAATTATAATAAAAATTTGTAA